TAGATTCCTGCAGAGCAATATGTTAATGTAAGATTACATTTACAGTATTAAAAAATTTGTCCATTACAATTGTTTTGCAGTTAAAATAATATGCTTATTTAAAGCTGTGTTTAAGACCGTCATTGATATCAAGCATAGATGTAAGCTACTTAAAAAGAAAACATTTGTAGAATATTTGAGAGTTCTCTGTGGCAAGCAAGTGCCAATTAAAGGATAAGAACTAAGGCGAAAAATCATATAAGAGAGAAGAGTGAAAATCTTTGCTGCAACATTTGAGGAAAAACTCCAACCTTGGCATTTGCTGGTGGTGGGACTATAGGCAATCCCATACTCTATCCTTATGCGGAAATGCATGCAAATTCTGAAAGTGTGTACAGATGTCGTATATAATCTATATACATTCATCCAATAACTTTATTTTATTCGACTAAAAGTACTTCTTAACATTGAAGCAATCTTTATTTCAGATAACATGATGCCTATATTACTTTCTGGTACCAATGAAGAATGTAAGCTACAAGTTATTTGTATTCATTAATCATAATCACTTTACATCTTGGGATTTCCATTTGGGGAATAATTTTAGTTTAATTATAAATGGTGTCAGCCATTATTTTTGTGAGTGTGTTAGGAACCATGAACCTTATATAAATCCTAATGATGCTGAGATCCGTAGCTTTAAAGTAGTTATTATTGAGGAGGCATCCTTCAATTCATTATTAGCGTAGATTTTGAGTTAATACTGCTTACTCCGAGGAACCTAGTCAATACCATTGTAGTACTATTGCTTTCGTGTGGCTCATTTGTTTAAAGAAAAAGTTGAGGTATTTTCATGGGTCTGGAAGTACCAACGACATTGCTGGCAAATTCGCATTTCCCTATTTGTGAACAAAAGTTTCAAAGTGGGGTTGATGCTGCTTCTACAAAGAAAGACCAAAGAAATTAGGGTTGGTTTTTTTTTCCCCTTTAGCACAAAATGCTATTTCCTTACACCTCCAAGACAGGCGCTGGACCAGGGGAGAAAGTGATCAGGCTGCAGAGTGGTTTCCACTTTATGATCCATTTGTCTCTTTCCAAGTTTAGAAAAATCCGTCTCTGATTCTGAATCTCCAGCTGCCTCTAATCATTGTTTTTCTATTGTGTTGCCCTTTTCTTGTTGCTTTGCAAGGTTTATTCATTGTATGATGAATATGTCATTTGTTGAATATATGTATTGCAAATACATCCTATTTTTTGGATTTCCTTTTTCCTTTGATGATTATCACTTTTTATGTCCTCTTTAAGAAATCTTTGCTTACCATAGAGTTAGAAAGATGTTTTCATGTTGTTTCCTTCAGGAAGCATTATTGTTTTACCTTTTATGTTTGGGTCTGCAATTCATTCGGAATTAATGTTAGTATATATACGGGGGAGGTATCATGAATTATTTTTCCCATTTGGATATCCAGTTGGCCCAGCACAGTCTACTGAAAAGACTATCATTTTTCCTGTGTACTACAGTACCACCTTTGTCATAAATCTAGTGTCTGTATTGCTGTAAATTTGTTTAGGGACTTTCCATTCTGTTCCATTGGCTTTTTATCTAGGTTTGTACCCATTAAACACTGTCTGATTACTGTAGCTTTATCATAAGATGTGATATTAAGTAGTAGAAGATCTCCAGTTTTGTTCACCTTCTAGACTGTCTTGGGTATTCTTGGCCCAGACCAACTTCATCAGAATCTACCTCACGCATAGATACTTCAAAAGCTCCTCACTTGATTGCAACATGCAGCCAACCTCGAGAATCACTTGTCTAAGAACTTCTGAACAATTCTCAAAGTTTCTAACAGGGCCTGTGGAATTGTGATTCATTCTGCAAAATGTACTGTACTAATTGGTACCCAAATGCAGCCCAAATGTTATTCCTTGGAGAAAATCTTAACATCTGATAATCTAGTTCACCATGATGGGTCTATAATAGTAACTACTTTCCAGCTGACACTTATTCTGTTAAATTTATTTTTCTTTCCTCCAATTTATAATCAAGTCTTCACTTTTTGATTTACTGTGAAGCAAGAATTGCTAGATAAACCAGAAAAGCTATTTTCTTTAAAGACCTTTCAAAACCCCACAGCTTTAATATCTACTTGTTACAGTGTTATTGTTAGATTTAAATTTAGTGGAAAATGGGCTTCTTATTAGTTCTTTGGTTTTAAACTCATAAATCCCTTTCATTAAAGCTTTTTTATTAAGATTTAGCAAACTCCCACAAGCATTTGATAATACTACTGTGAAAGATTTGAGCTCTCTGAGAGCTACTATTGGGATTCTTTTTTTCAAAGTGTAAAATGTAGTTGGAAATAATTTTATGTTTGCGATTCAACAATAAAAGCTGGGATAATACTTGTGTTCAAGTACTTACACTACATGCAATAATCTGAGTGTGCCGAGGTCCCTCAAAACTGTCTTAATATTCTTAGTGTCAAAACGTTTAAATACATTTAAACATAGTGATGGAAGTGGCCAGATTAAGAAGGAATGAAACACAGCAGACGGTTTTCAGGAGCTACTTAATAGCTAACCTCAGACAAATTAAGTGTTGGAACAATTTGATAGGAGTTATTTTGTTCTCATACATGTCAGAAATGTTTACAATTAAAATGATTAAGGCGCGTTCACTAGGTCAGGTCAAGAAATCTCTCTGTCCTGCTCTTTGCCTCTGCTGTTACTCATTCAGTCTGGTTGACTCACCAGAGCCAGGGCAGGCACACTGTGAGAGGTAACCAAACAGAAAACGTTTAAAGAAGGCAGGGAGCAAATTAGCAAATCACTGAAGGCTTATCTACAAGAAGTAGGGACACTTCCTGGGAAGGGGAGAGGGGAGAAACAGTAAATAGGGAATCATGGAGCCTAAGTTGGTAGCTCAAGGATGAGGAGTGACAGAAAGGAGATGGACTGGTGAGGTTGGGTAGGGAGGGGTCTCCCAGTTTGTCTAGCAGTAGGAACGCAATTGATGAGTCAGGTATGTGGCTGTTACTAATTCCCTAGATGCTTTTCTTTCAGCAGGGGGTCCTTGTAGGAATCCTAGGTCTGCAATTTACAAAAAAGCTCCTTTCCTAACTGCCTTTAAAATCTGAGCATCAACACAGAAGCCCAATATTAGAGTCAATTCCACACAATCTTGAAGAGCCATGGCAGCCTGGAAGCAGCCCTTGGGAACACCTCTCGACTTGCTCAGTTGCTGAAGGTGGCTTTATGGTACTCAATTCTTCCTCCCATCTTTTTGCCATTAGCATGTTATTTGGGTTTTGCACCCAATTCCACCATGATGTTGGGGGTGGAGGTTCCCTACACCAACCAACAAGCAATGTTCAGGACGCAAGCTGGGTGTCCTACAATTCACCTCAATTCTTACACTATCTACCTGAAAATGGCATCAGATTCTACAGGTAAAGGGCTCAGCACTCAGGTGCCAGTTGCAAGCCCAGGTTGTTACCTGTGCTTCTGATTGAGCAGCTACACATTGGAGGTTCCAAAGACCCCCTCCAACTCAGGATGCCATTTACAAATCCATGTTGTTACCTATACATCTGATCAACTGACCACAAATTAGAGGTTCCCACAAACCCCTCTTTGGGTTCAACTAATTTGCTAGAGTGGCTCACAGAACTCAGAAACCCTGTTGAGTCATTAGATTACTGGTTTATTACAAAGGATATTAAAGGATACAAATCAACAGCCAGATGAAGAGATGCATAGGGTAAGGAATGGGGAAAGGGCCCCACTCTCTCAACTCCTCCACATGTTCAGCAACCCAGAAGCTCCAAATCCTCCCTTTTGGAGTTTTATAAAGATTTCATTACATAGTCACGATGGATTAAATCATTGGCCATTGGCAACCAATTCAACCTCTAGCCCCTCTCTCCACTCTTCCCCACCAAAGGGCTTGGAATCAAAGTTCCAACTCTCTAATCACAAGGTGTGGTCACTTCATTAACATAACAAAAGACACCCTGTTTTGCTCTCATCCATTAAGAAATTCCAAGGGTTTTAGGAGCTCTGTGCCAAAGTGGACAAAGACTAAATATACGTTTCTTACTATAAATCACAACATCACACATGTTGATCTTGAACACTACTAGGAATGTTAATTCCACCTCTAAGGGAAGTTAGAATGAAGGGTGAGCAAAGTGTGGGATATTCTGGAAACATGCTTAGGGAAGCCTAAGCATGTCTTGCCCATTACTGACTGAGCGTTTTCTTAAATGGCACCCATCATTTCGATATGCATCTCCCTTCTCCTCCATCCAGTTAACCTCACCCAAGTAAATAAAAAGACATTGATAGAGGGAGGCCCCTTATTTTGCTGGCCTGCTCCTTAATTTTTGCATAATTTAATTTCTCTTGTTTTATACTTCTTATTTTCAACTGGATAAGATTTCTGTGGTTTTGTTCAATTCTTCAGCTTTGTGGGACTTTAGCCAGTGTAGGCACAAATGGATAGTTTGAATATTTAGCATTATTTCCCCTAACTATTTGTGTCACCTCAAATTGCAGCCATTTGGATGTATTAACACATGTGCGTATACAGTTTTATAAAGGTTATTTTATCCGTCAATTTAGTTTCCCCCAACAAGAAATTTATGGGCAAAGTGTTTCAGCATGATACTATGCAGATAATCAGCACTAGATTTGTTTCCCAAATATGGCTGTCGGATGTTGCTAATGCTGTATTTCAAAATCACAGAAAAATTTTCCCCAAATTTCTAAGAGTTCCCAAATGTTGTATCACCTTCTCTTCTTCTTTTTCTTCTTCTTCTTCTTTTTTTTTTTTTTGGTTATTCTCTATCTTTTAGCACTGGAGAACATTGTTGCAGTTTACCATTCAATATTTGTACATGAAGGATCATAAAATAAGTCATTATAAAAATAGGCCAAAATACTTAGAAAATTTTAAAAATTACAGATTAAAGATAGGCCAAAATAATCTGTTGTTTTTTGTGTATTTTCTTTTTCAGGTCAGAACTGTGGAGGCCTAGTCCAGGGTCCTAATGGCACCATAGAGAGCCCAGGGTTTCCCCACGGTTATCCAAACTACGCTAACTGCACCTGGATCATTATCACAGGAGAGCGCAATCGGATACAACTGTCATTTCACACCTTTGCTCTTGAAGAAGATTTTGATATTTTATCAGTTTACGATGGACAGCTCCAACAAGGGAACTTGAAAGTGAGGTAAAGTATTGGTTCTTCATATGACAACTTACGTAGCACTGTTTGACTTACTGAGATTCTGAAACTTAACTGGAATTAATATTTGAATTTAGTTATCAGAAAATAAGATTGCAGTTACTATAAAGAAAAAGTAAAGACCGTAGATTTGTGCAGAATTTTTTCCCTACTTAAAAAACATAACTTCTTATTGAAAGCAATCATTGACTTCATGTAAAGACATCAAATCGTTCAAGATCTGTACAACAGTGTTGTCAAGGTAATTTAGGTAAAGTGAAAATACACCATTGTTTTTAAGCAACTGTAGATTTGAGAGAAAAAGCACAAAGAAATGCATGAGTGCAATTTAGAGAACAACAAAAGGAACTATATTGTTAGAGAATATAGTCAACAAAAAGAACATTGGAGGCGGGGGTAAAAATGTGAAAGAATACAGTAGTCTTTGGAGACTTTTGGTTTACGTGATCATAATATATTCTATTCCTCATCAGTTTTCTCTTTTGATCTGATTTTTACTATGGAGCAAGAAAAATATTTCCTGGGATAATTTTAAGTTATGTTTTTTATTTATCAACAAAAAAAATATTGTATCTGTTCAATTATATCCACTTTTTTCTAATTTGGCAAAGGGAAAGGAATATGCCTTTCAAAGAAATTGGTTTTCCTAACTAAATTGATGAACATATTTAAATAGATACCTATATGGCAAATAAAGCTTTTTTCTCTGGGTTTAAAATTCTGCATTAATTAGAAATTAACTTTGTTGACTATACAAAGTCTTTTAGAAAAATTGACAGTAGCCAGAAAGAATTGTACTGCTTAGGTAAATAAAATGGTATTGATGCTAATGTTAGCAATAATACACAAAAATCATAAAATTTATTCATGATTTTGTGGATTGAGAAAAAAATTTCTACAAAAATATATAATTATATTTCTACGTCTAGTTAATATATTAATATATATTAACTATATAGTTAATATGTTAAATATGCAATATTAATATATTTAAAATATATTTTATTTGCATTTTCTTTATGCATTATAAAATATAAAACACCTTCTAGTTTTTTCTGGGTCATCCACAATATCTATTGTCTGTTTTTAGAAACACTTTCCCATTTTCCCTTTCTGTCATTATTGCACACATCTCTCTCCTTTCTGAATCAGTTCCCTAGACTTTCTTTCTCCTTGTCTAACGCGTATGGTCCTGCTTTTGGATGTTTGAACAAAGTATCTACATATACAGTCGTTTCTGATTTGATGCAAAATTTCTTCTCCTCTTTCCTGTTCTTCTAAATATTAGTTATTTATTAATTTTTATTCCAAATTATTGAAGCTACTAGGGAATAGTGTTATGTTGTAATTAGAAAAAGAATTTTAATCAAAACTGAAAAGAGGTATGGCAAAAAAAATGAAACAGTGAATCCAATTTATTCAAATATTAAGGCATATGACTCTGTGTTAAAAGTTATTCTTTCTCTCTCCATCAAAAAAATGCCTACTAAATATGTACTCTTAAAAAATACTTCTCTGTCAATATTTTCATTTCCTATAATTCTATTACAACTCCTATAATTCTATCCTCTTCTAAAGGAAACCTGTCTTAAATGTTAATTTGACCAACTACCTGTCTTTAAACAATTTACCATCGTCTTATGTTCTTCTGGTGATATTGTAATCACTTTATATGTTAATAACTATAAAGTTTAGAAAACAGTATTCTTGCCAATATTCAAATATTGCATATTTTCAACATTATAACACGATCAGCAGTGGAAATATTAAGGTGAGAACAATGAGAGTCATTGTATTTTATTTCGAGGTTCCAATGTATAGCATATGAGTTGATATCTGTGTCTCAAAAAGCTTTATACATCCTGGTGAGTTATACGTATGACATCATGATGCTTTTCCTCAGATATTTTTACTAGAGAAAGCAAAGAAGGCTGATAAGAACAGACTGCTCAGGTTCACATAAATTACTCAGTTACCCACAATTTTTCATTTGAGAAGGAAAACAAATATGGCATATCTCTTCCTGTTTCTTGTCCTAAAGATAACGAAGATGCTTTCATTTCTATATTAAATTATATAATTCCTCCTCCTATCTCCACACTTAGAATGGCTTTCTGAGTGGACATTCTATGAGGGTATGGTAACTATTCTGGGGACAGGAGTCACTATTTTAGGTATTATAACACAAATGGGCAAAACAGAAACAGAATTCCACTAACAACTGCTAAGTGCTATGAGTCTTTACTCATATAAAATTTTGAATAAAAATAATGGAAATAGGAATATGAGTAGTGTTAGGGCGAACTCATGAGAAGGTGGCAACATTTCGATGTTAGTTGATGGACAAAGTAACTATAATTAGAATCAAATTCTAATTATTGGGGAGGATTTGAATGCTATTTGTTTTCCATTCTATCTTGGAACAGTTGTTTATTTCTCAAATACAATTAACTGACAACACTTATAACAGTTCTGGAATTCAAACTAAGAATACTTGCGTGAGACAATGATATATGAGCTGCGGATCGACTGAGTTGTCACTAAAGTTATTACTTAGAGCTGTCATGTTCTGTTGTTTTACTGCTGCACAAAAGCTGTTTCTAGTGGCTCAAAATGTGCACTAAAAAAAATTAACAGTTGGTTTGCGAAACAACATGAGCATTTTATTATAAAGAAATCTCCTTTGTTTAACCACAATGAAGAATTTTTTCTAAATAACATAAGATTTAGATTTAATCCCCAAATAACAGAACATAGGATTTTTGATGTGTACATTGTAACCTGAACTTTTGGGAAAAATATATTATTTACTCTATTTAAAAAGGCATCTTTAAGGGCCAGCCCAGTGGCGTAATGGTTAAGTTTGTGCACTCCGCTTCAGTGGGTGAGATTCACAGATTTGGATCCTGGGTGCAGACCTAGCACCACATGTGAAACCATGCTGTGGCAGCATCCCACATAAAAGAGAGGAAGACTGGCACAGATTTAGCTCAGCAATAATCTTCCTCAAGAAATAAGAGGAAGATTGGCAATAGATGTTAGCTCATAATACAAATACACAAATGCATATAGGATTTGTGCCTCCCTCAGTAAATTCAATTTCAACATGTAGCTATTGAGAGGTAAATTAAGACTTCTCTTAAGCGTCAGAGGAAAGATTTGCCAAAATTAGAAATAGAAATCTGCTCTTTATCCAGAATTAAAACTGATTTTTATGAGCTGTCTTATTATTGCTATTTTTTAAATCTCTGGCCTTTATTGACTCTGCACCTTCTCTTGTTTCTCAAATCTCCACGGAGGTCCAACCACATAGTCATACAATCCTACACTTTTTATTGTGCAGTCTAACTTCATGATCCACAGCCTGTTTTGATCCTCACAGAAAATGCTCCAAGAAGGCCCCTATTTTTCATAGGTTGACCAATACACTGATACGCTGACATTCCTGCCCCCGGCCCATCCCTTCTAATCCTGAAACATTGGCAGCAGTCCTGTCCTCATCTATATTGCCAGTGACATGAACATTTCTAGTAAACATGATCCTGATATTCAAGAAACTCTGCAATCTGACTCCAAACTGCATTCCTGGCCTTTAGTCTCTTCTGTTTATTCTCTCTGTATCTCAGTCCGTCCGGGCTGCTATAACAGAAAGCCATAGACCATGTGGCTTGTAAACAATAGACATTTAATTCTCATAGTTCAGAGGCTGGAATTCCAAGATCAAGGTGCCGGCAAATTCAGTGTCTGATGAGAGCCTGCTTCTTGGTTCATGGAGGGCCCACTTCTCGCAGTGTCCTTGCCTGGCAGAAGGGGTAAGGGAGCTCTCTGGGGTCTCTCTTCTTAAGGGCATTAATCTCATCCACGAGGGCTCCACTCTCATGAGTTAATCACCTCCCCAAGAGCCCCCTCTTCAAATACCATCACATTGGGGGTTTGGATTTCGACATATGAATTTGGTGGCAGGGGACACATTCAGTCTATAGTGATACGGGAGTTTTCTTACTTAGTTGAAAGAACTGTGGGTTATTCCTTGACGTGACCTTATACAAGAACATATTTATCATCTCTACTTCCTCATCCCTCCCTCTGCCCAGCTAAATGATATCCAACTTTCAGAATTCATTTCACATTATATTTATTACAGGAAATTTTCCCTGTGCACCCCATTAAAAAACAGCCCCCAAGAACTCCTTTAGCAGTTGCACTGAACCGACACCTTGAACCATGTGCTCCTTTGAAATCACACTGTCTCTGAAGTGGCCTCTTCTTGGAGTTTGTATGTCTTTGTGTTCTAGGATGTTAAATAGAATATACATCCTCTGAAGCCAAGAAATGTGCCATGAGTGTATATTCTCTAGTGATGACTTTAGATATGTTGACTCTAAAACAGTCAACAAATCTTCATGGGGCAATTTTGAATTAAAATATTCCTGATTCGGAGACACTCATCACTGTCCTCTGTGTATATAATCCAACACGACTCAATATAACTCTCCTCTGGATGAGCATGAGTTTGTCCAACACAGTGATGGCTTTCCAGTCAATGTTCTCTAAATTTGAAGTAGTCTTGATTTGTCCCCAAACCAGAAAATAATGGAAGTTGACATCAATTTCCAATTGTCGTAACATTATAATATCAAACTTTGAAATCTCATTGGAACCTCAAAAAGTGAACTTATGAAGGAAAATTGTACCATGCAAATGCGGAAAATCAGTATATATTACTCCATGATTATTTAGAGCACAAGGCCTAGGAAAATCACTTGTACAATTATCTTGACTCTCTCTCCCTCTCTGAATTTTACAAGATTACTGCTAATTTTTTGCAATGATGGTAATGAAGAGGTTTGAGATGACTGTGATAGGGCCATTAAAATCAGGAAATCATGAATAAGTATTTCTAACATATCACAGTTTTCCCAATTATTTTTTTTCTAAACTCTAATAATGTGTTTGAATGCATCAAACATTAACTAAGAAACCTG